ATGCATTTTTTTGTGTCCACCATTCAAGTCCCATCAAATTGTGCAGTTCGGCAGATGGTTATGTTCAGTGCTACATGGCCTCCGGAAGTTCATCAATTAGCTCAAGAGTTCATGGATCCCAATCCAATCAAGGTCTCATTTACCATTCAGAATATATTCTCAAATTTGTTGTGGTTCCTTTCCTGGCTTAAAACTGAAGTCTGTTCAGGTAGTTGTAGGTTCAGAAGATTTGGCTGCCAACCACGATGTCATGCAAATTGTTGAGGTAAACTGCGTTGTAGAAATTTTAAGGACTTATGAGATATGCATTTTTCTTTCCAGCTCTTTCATATGATCAGCATATTGTTGCCTCCCAATCGATCAACAGAGCCAAAACTAAAATTCAAAGAGAAAATAGGAGAAGACTTGCACGTTCATCTCCATTTCTTCCTACTGAATTGCCTGTCCACTTCCTTTTACATTGTAGGTCTTGGAAGATCGAGCACGGGATGAGCGTTTACAATGTTTGCTGGAAAAATACCACAAGTCTAGAAGGTATCTTAACAGAAATTTCTGCCAACACATTTCTAATCTCATTTCAAGCTCTCAAGCCTGCGTTCGTTGTCTCTTGCTGACATCCATAAATCCTCCTATATTATAGTATATGAATAATGATATTCATGTATTAGGTCTTTGCCTGTGGTTTTAATTTCCTGCTTGCCTCCCTGTGTACAAAGTAGGCTTGTAATTCTCTTGTACTTGTAGGAATTGAATGGATTGCTTCCTTCCTGCTAAGTCAACTAGAACAGTTCTCTTTATTTTAAAATCACTCTAAAGTGACTTAAGTGCAAAAAGACTAGACCAGCACCGCCTTTGTGCCTGTGTTCAATATTAACTTACCTTTCTCATAAAAAGTGTGAAATGATTATTCTGCCCATGTGTGGTTGCTAATTTCTATTGGTGCTTAATGTTGTCTAAACACAGTTGTCTGGTGTCCCCCTATGTTTATTTAGATGGTTGACCAAGTGAGGGGTAGCCTAAAAGTAGTGATTCCATTTTTCTACCAGGAGGTAGTATGTTTATCAAACCATGGGGCATGGGGGAAGTGCATTCTCTCTCTCTCCCTGTCACACACACACACTATTATCTCCTCTTCCTTTTTTCTTTTCAAAAATCATATTGTGGATGAGTTCATTTTACTTCCCCAGCAGATTTCTGTTGTTGTATCATTCTTCTTTAGTTCCTTATCCATTGTCTAGCACAGTTGTTCTTCGTGGCAATGGTTTTAGACATTCCTCAATCATCAGTTATTGGGGATAATGTTTACATTATTTGTATCCTGTTTTGGCGTTTAACCTTGGTATTTGATTTTTTGGACTCTCTTTATAATGGATGCTTACAAGAGGTTGCAAACTTTGAACAGGAATAGAGTATTGGTTTTTGTTTTATACAAGAAGGAAGCATCTCGTGTTGAAATGATGCTACAGAAAAGGTAATTCTATTGACTCTTCTGTTTAGTTGTGAAGAAAACATTAGATTCCTATGTCTAGCTTCTATTTACTTGCTGATAATAGTATAATACATGTTCCAACTAATTTGACCCTGGCAACATTGGTACATGTAGTATGCACCATGCTCATTGTATTGTGTATCATATCTGGTTTACATTTTGTAATGTTTAAAGTGTCATTGCCTCAGGGGTTGGAAAGTTGTCTCCATTAGTGGTGACAAGCAACAGCATGCTCGTACTAAGGCCCTGTCACTCTTCAAGGATGGAAGCTGTCCTCTACTGGTACACACTGTTTTCCTATTATCATCTTTGTTTCCACTTCCAGTGATGTTATTTGATAGGTAGAATTAACAGGATAGAATCTCAAGAAGATGCAAACCATATAAGGCCAACTAATCAAGTATATAAGAACCAAAGAAAATGTGCTTTATTAATTAAGTAAAGAAGAACCTCAGATGTGTTTTTATACTCTTGACTAAAACCACTGATATTGCTATATTTTTGGTTTTGTTTTATCATCCTAATTTACATCAGTTTACTCTTTGACTAAAACCTGATCTGTATTTTTGAAGTTCTGATTTCTAGCCAATCCTCTTCCGTCCAAGAATAATAGGATGCTTACTCTTTTTTCCCCATCAAAATGTTTTGCCAGATTTTGCTTCTTTGGTTCTTCCTCATTCCTGCAAGATCTATTTCCCATACTTTCTGTGACTTCTATTTGTGTTGCTCTGGTGCTGGCTGGGAATTGTGTTGTGACTTCCGGTTGAATTTGGATAGACTGTTCATGAATGATCTTGCTGTGTTTGCTCAGTTTTCTTTCGTGCGTGCTGAAACATGCTAAAGCCTCATTAACATAATTGTTTATGCTTCTGCAGATTGCTACTGATGTAGCTGCTCGGGGGCTTGATATACCTGATGTTGAAGTTGTGATAAATTATAGTTTCCCTTTGACAACAGAGGATTATGTTCATAGAATTGGAAGAACTGGAAGGGCTGGTAAAAAAGGTGTAGCTCATACATTTTTCACCAAGGATAACAAGGTACTGTTTGACTGATCCTTACAATAGAGATTTCACTTTTATTTTTCTTGTACTATTGTTTCAGTGCTTTGCTAGTTTGATTCTTACATTGAGCCTGTCTATCACAGGGACTTTCTGGGGAGTTGATAAATGTCCTCAGAGAAGCTGGACAGACTGTTCCAGCTGCCCTTCTTAACTTTGGAACCCATGTAAAGAAAAAGGTAAGCTTTTTGTTTGCATATTGGCTATTGCGTATGATTTGAAATGCAAATGTATTAGATGGTGTTTGGATTGGCTTAAAAGTTGGCAAAAGTAGTCAAAAATGGCTTAAAATAAGTTAGAAAGTGTTTGGCAAGGTTAAAAATAACTTAAAATAAGTTAAAAATGACTTAAAAACCAAAAGTAGGTCTCCCCCTACTTTTTATTTTTTGACTTAAAAGTCATTTCAGTTCGACTTTTATTCTTGACGTAAAAGCTACTTTTTTTAAGCCAATCCAAACGGGCTCTTAGTCTCCTAAATTTCAGTATCTCATTTTGGAAGAAATTATTGTTCCTCACACAACTGACACAAGGATTTGCCTAGTTCTTGATATCCTAGTAGCTGTATTTGTGTTTACATGTCGTGCTTGCATTGTAAGTAGAATCTATTAAAAAAAGAAGGATCTTATGTTGGCTTGGTCCAAACTAAGAAAACAAAGAATCATGTCGTGTTTTTGTTCTTGGGCAGGAAGCCCAGAATGTTATTATCATCTGCTTGTGCATAGTCTTGACAACATAGTATCTATGGATAGGGGTGTCAAATGAATGGGTCAAAATGTGAACTGCCCAAAATTTACATGGGCTGAAATGAGTTGGGCAGGAATGGGCTATAAACCATCTTCATTAATAACCCGTACAAAAGTGACTTGGGCTGAAAGGGACTAAACGAATCTTGACCCAATCTGCCCATTTCTTACTAAATTTTTAGTCTATTTGTTTATGTACCTAACAAAGTTTGTCTTTATTATGTCTATTTGGCTAATATACAACGTATTGAACATAATAATTTTTTTGTTTTAAAAAAACACTTTTGACAAGATTCCTCATTGATCAACTAACACCTACATATCAACCCAATTATTGGATGGACCAAATTGGGAGGGTCAAAATCTCCAAGTTTATAAATGGGCTGGTAAAAGTTTAGTGAGACCGAGGCTAAGGAGTTGTGTTTTCCTGGGATAATTTTGCAACCCGATTACAATAACAATTTGGATATCCAGAAGATGGAAAACCAACAATGTATTATTACAAAAGTTATACTTTGTGATCGCCTATTTTCTTGCTGGCATAATTTGTTTGATTGAGACTGATGAATAGAGCTACACATGCCTTTCTGTTAGTAATTGTCAACTGAATCTTGTTTCTCCACCCTTCCCTTACTACCGCATTGCTAGTTTTCTATCGCTGCACATGTTCTTTGTTACATTGTTGAGTTGCAATTTACAGGAGTCCAAGCTCTATGGTGCTCATTTTAGAGAAATTGATGCAAATGCTCCAAAGGCCACCAAAATAAAATTTGGCGATTCTGATAATGAAGATTGAGAAAACGAATATCAATGGTTCCAGTTTGTCATTGAGTTGTAAGCAGCAGTGCAGCACAACTCCTTTGAATTGGTTCCAAGCTTCACCATCCTGACACTATAGAATCGTTTGGCGGATGCATGGAGAAGTGGATCATTGTGAGAAGAATGCAAGAGATGATGTCCCACAGCTATCTGCTCATGTACGCCAACAGATGCCTAAATTTATTGCGCTGCAATGTCCTAGATAATAGTGTTTTAGAATCTTAATATTCTTTTATGTAATTCGTATCATTTCCAGCATAGAAATGTAACTCTTTAAGAGTGTAATGCCGACTGATTGTTAGTTTGTCTCTTTTGTGATATTTGATTGCACCTTACAAATGCTGGAGATGGGATTCTGTGCTATAAGTAAAATATTTTGGAGGTCCTGTTATTTGGAGAAAACATGTCTGGATAATTAATTAACTTCTGTTCTAGACTCTGAAAAGTAGTTGGAGTTGTAAAGCCCCAACATGTTTCGATTTCCAACGGTGCACGTTCCAGAATTTAGTGGATAATAGACCCACTTCTCTATTAACTAAAATGCCAAACTTTATGTAACTGTGTTCAAACTTGTGAGCAAGATAATAATATCAAAGACTTGCTTACGTTAACTTGTCAAGGGTTGCAAGTAGATTCAAAAGTTGGTGTAACAAAGACCATCACAAATGCACTTTTCATCTGTGCATTGGATTGAGCTTTGGAACATGAGAAGTAAAGAGGAAGTTTATAGCAGAGGATGAAACGCGCGATCTATAAACTGCCACTCGTAGGACAAAATAAGGTCTTCCCATTGTTTTTCTCTCTTTAAGTCTCTACCAACAGAAAAAAATGCATCCTACAAGATGCCCTTGTAAGACCCCCGGGGTTGGGGTTTATGGGAAGAACAATGGGAAAATTGCTCCATCTCCTCTGAAGCTCTAACATTATATATTTAATGCGATTGCTAACATTATTCTTCAGCCAATGACAAACATACATTAAAAATATATACAGAAAAACCGATACAACTACCCAACACCTTATACATCAGGGTGATCGGTATGCAACTTTTGCTGACAACCTATTCGAAGGGATCTCAGCACAGAAGCTGCAACATTGCTCCACGCCCATTCCTGTCATAATATCATCATAACTCGATAGCTCCATGGGCGGTTCTCTTCAAGCATGTATGCACTTCTCGGAATAATGAAGTTTTCATGCTTCTTTCATTGGTTGCTACCTCCAAGAAACGTGAAGACTCTTCTTCTCAACACCTGAGCTAAATCTATGATTTCAGATTCCCTAATCTGCCGAGTCATACTAACATCCTGCCAAAAGAATGTGCGCTTACTGGATAATCTGCTTGTTACATCAACAGTCAAAGTGGCCTTCTCTCGACTATTTGTTAATGCACGTAGAGCGTGACTGGAGTACTTGGGATGTGAAACTAGTCTATTCAAGAGTATAAGTACCTCTCGAATCAGCAAGGTCCTGGCAAATAAGACATAGAAAAGATTGAGAAAATGAAATTTCAATAAAATCAAATTGAAAAATTACTTGGAAAATGCAAAGGTCCTTTCAGAAGATTAAAAAAAACAGCTAATAATGAGAAACTCCATGAATTAAGGACTCAAACTCAAGGTGGTGAACAAATGGGTTGTCAAACTAAAAAGTATAAAAAGAAAGCATTGTGATGTTCAGTTCTAGATAATCATTGTGTATTTTACCGCATGGAAACTCAAATAAACTAACTCCATTTCATGCATATATTTGGAAGACTGAAATAAACCTCAAAACACATTTAAGTGCCCAAAGATACCTCTCTTTGTATACTTCTGGCTGCTGAGCAGTATCCGATTCTTCTAGATCCAAATCGCATACTAAGCTTTGCAAAATAATTGCTGGGAAATCCTTTCCTTTTGGAAGCCCATAATTTAATAGAATTTCAACACCACATTTTCCGGATGATGCGAAGAAAGCTAGCAAAATAATAGTGTGCTTCCGAAGCTGTAGTTCCTGAATAATTAGAGAATCAAGGGTAACAAACAGCAGGAAGGGGTCAATTCCATTCTTGGCAAATTCAAGACAAAATCCATGTTAAATACGATAGCAGTATTCAGAGGAGTTTAGAGAGAAAAATTGAAAATACGAAATGAGGAAAGGTGAGAAGATATGCTAATTGAAGTTAAACACTAGGCTTACCTCGGCATTACTTCCAGTGCAGGCGATACACTCTGCCAAACTCTCAAAGATCACACTGATTACGGAAAAAGTTGAACTTTCATTGGAATTGATGTCAACCATGCCACTGCCATCTCCCTCCATGAAACAGCTGCAGAATGAGGCCATTACTCTTGGACCTTTATTGAATAGTATAGTCAGGTAAACCATTACACAAAGCAAAAACAAACTGCTAGTGATTTTGAGATGGATTTTTTCCTCAGAAATAACCTTTATATCTTCATCAGAGTATATCTTACAATTAGCAGCAATCTACTACAACTACCACTGTGGTGCATGAGTAAAAGACAGTAAAATTTAATGAAGTATCCTTCCTTAATAATAAACTTGGAGAAAATGCATCAATCTTTAACTTGGATCAGAAAGAATATATTGGCTTATTCTCCATAAGATCGTACAGACACTGTTGGAAGAGAATATGATATAAATAACAAAATGCGGTAGTTCAAGTAGTAAAAGCTACAAATTGAACATTGAGGTGCAGTAAGCAAGTTCAAGAACAAACTTCCAGGAGCCAGATAACATCAAATTGATATATAAACATGTGCCCAACACGTGACCAAACATATGTGCTTACAATTCAGTAGCATATGAAGAAGATGCACAGTTTTCTTCTTTACATGCAAGCGGGCTCCCTTCTTCAATAATTTTACAATACTTTGGAATAGTATATCTGTTCCGTACCTATATAAAAGAGGAAATAGCATAAGCATATTACAGAGCTCTAAAAATATTCGTAAACAGATAAGAGAAGGATATGAACTTACTTGTCCCTCTCCAAATAGGCATTACTTCTTGCAACAATCAGATTCATGACTGAAACTGCTTCGAGTCTTATATGTTCTACGTCATGAATCATGACAATTTCGCACATTAATTCAAACAGAGGAACATAGTTGAAACAAGATGATATCAAACAGCTAGATCCATAATTGATGAATCCTATTCTGGTGCAAGTTTCAAGATTATTCACTCTCAGGCGATCAGTGTGATCTTGATCAAATATTTTCTCAGTATGGACATGCGGCAGTCCTCTATTTCCAGGATATCCATATTCATACAGTTCTGACGCATTATTCCAACAAACAGGTCCGTCAACCACAATATTGTCCCTGATAGAGTACATTGGGAAGATCAAATCAAAGCATATAAGGAAATTCCTGGATCAGATGATAGAGACAATCTTTTCTCCTTTTTCCTTTCCTTTAGTTATTTGTTTTAGCCTTTTGAGGTCACGGAAGCATCGTTTACCCCAATAAGGAAATAAACAACTAGCACTAGCAAGAGAACAGCAAAACGCCTGAAGATCTATCTTGAAATGTGAAGAATCAGAAGACTGGAGAGACTAGTTTGCATGATAATCAGTGGGTTCTAACTTTTGCTTCTGTTTTTTTAATTGAGCTTCCTTATGAATCCAGACAAATGCAAGCTTCTTACACAAAGGGAATGGTTAAACAGTTGTCAAACACTTGAATCAAATCATTCTTCTGCATTGATGCTAAAAGAATCCACGACAATATCTCAAAAACAGAATAGAGAAAGAAGAGCATGCATTTGAGTAAGTAATATATACCTTTTACCAAATTTTCTTTCCATATTGAAAGTGAAACTCAAAACCTCTTGCAGTATATGCAAAGACCTATGAATAATAGAAACCTGTATGGAATGAATAGTGTTATGAAGCTAGTGACAAGAAACTTCTATGGAATGATATAAAAATGAAGCCTTTATGAATTCCCTTTTACTTCAACATAACATACAGTAATCATTCAAAAGAACTATATAGCCGACCCCAACATGATTGGAATTGAGACATAGTTGTTGTAATCATTCAAAGGAATTATAAAAAAAAACACTCTGTACTTTTGTTATGGAAAAGCCTTGGTACTTAATTAATTTTTATACAGGTAATATATGGAAAACCTTAGTAGTTGATGCATACTTATATTTATATATATATTTCCTTTATTCTTAGAAGTTTTGTTGTTTGCATAGTTTTCTGCTCCTTGGCCAATCAGCCACCTCCCATCCGACTCTGATTTCCGTAATACTCTCTTGGTCTTGACACAGGTCACTTGCTGAGTGGAAGTTTTGGGTAGGATTTGAACCTCAATTCTAGATTATCAAGTTATAACTTATTTATGGAAGGTGGGGTGAGGATCTTCATGGTGGGTGGAATCTCACTAGTGAATCAAAAATTGGATTTACAATGGATCTCACCCAAATCACCCTATCTATCCTCCTCCTGTGGAGGTGAGGGTTCTGTCGGTATGTATCAGTCGCGTAGAGAGAAGGTGCATAATAAAGATTAGAATCTAAGTGGTAGAACAAAGAAGGTGAACTCCAACGGACCAGTTTGCCAATTGATGCAAACCGGTATAATAGGTGTGCGAGGCATATTTCAATGCGAAAAGTGTCCCAACAAGGATGAAAACACAAAGTCATACTTTAAATTTGAGAACTGGTGGTTGGACATCGAGGGGTTCAATGACAAAATTAAAGGATGGTGGAACTCCTTCAGTTTTATAGGGAAACCTGACTATGTTTTGGTTGCTAAGCTCAAAGCACTAAAAGAAAAGCTGAAAGAATGGAGCAAAACTGCACAAGGGAACTTGGGAACACAAAAACAAAATGTCTTGAAACAGCTAGCTGAATTAGAGGAGATACAGGAGAACAGAACCTTGAGGCCAGAAGAGATAAGCTCCAAAACAGCATTAATCAGTGAGTTTGAAGACATAGCTAAAAGGGAGGAAATAGCTTGGAGGCAAAGATCTAGGGCAGTGTGGCTAGAGCAGGGGGATAGAAACACTAATTTCTTCCACAGAACTGCAAATGCACACAGGAGAATGAATACAATCTCAAAGCGGAAAGTGAGAGGAGAAAACTTGACTGAACCAGAGGAGATACAGAAAGAGATAGTAACTTATTATGAGGAACTATACTCTGAGCCAGAACAATGGAGACCATACCTGGAGATGAGAAACTGTCCTATGATTCATGAAGAAGAAAACAAATTACTCTTGGCACCTTTTGAGCAGCAGGAAATTCTAGAGAGCATAAAAGCATGTGCAGGGGACAAAGCACCAGGGCCAGATGGTTACTCCATGGCTTTCTTCAGCCAATGTTGGGACATCATTAAACCTGATCTGGTGGCTACAGTGCAGCAGTTTCATAAGGCAGAGAGGTTTGAGAAGAGTATTAATTCCACCTTTGTGGCTTTAATTCCTAAGAAAGTGGGAGCTGAGGAACTGACAGATTTTAGGCCTATTAGTCTAATAGGTGGAGTTTACAAGATCATTGCTAAACTGTTGGCAGAAAGGTTAAAGAAGGTGCTACACAGGCTTGTAGACAGCCAACAAATGGCATTCATAAAAGGTAGACAAATAATGGATGCAGTGTTGATTGCAAATGGATGTGTTGAGTCTAGGCAGAGAAGCAAGTGCCCTGGAATTCTATGCAAGCTTGATATACAGAAGGCCTATGATCATTTAAACTGGAATTTCTTACTACTTATGATGCAAAGGATGGGTTTTGGAGCCAAATGGATAAGATGGGTGAAATTCTGCATAAGCACAGTCAAGTTTTCTATTTTAGTTAATAGAACTCCTAGTGGTTTCTTTTCATCCCAAAGGGGACTGAGACAAGGTGACCCCCTGTCACCCTTTTTATTCATCTTAGCAATGGAAGGTTTGAGTAACCTAATTCACACAGCAAAGAGGAAGGGTTGGGTAAGGGGCTTCAGGGTGGACAGCAGTGCACAAAATGGCTTGGAGATTACACATCTGCAATATGCTGATGATACTCTTATTTTCTGTGAAGCAAGGACAGAGCAAATATTGATCCTAAGAGTAATATTCATCATCTTTGAAGCAGTCTCTGGATTACATATCAATTGGGGGAAGAGTTTCATTTATCCCATAAATGAAGTGGCTCAGGTGGAGAGTCTGGCAGGGGTTTTGGGTGGTAGGGTAGGGGAACTACCAACCATATACCTAGGTATGCCATTGGGGGGAAAGAGCAAATCAATAGGGATCTGGAATGGAGTGATAGAAAAATGCGAAAAGAAGCTTACCAACTGGAAGAGCCAATATCTGTCTAGGGGAGGTAGATTAACCATGGTTAATAGTGTGCTAGATGCAATACCTGCTTATATGATGTCTGTGTTCCCAGCACCAAACAACGTCATACAGAGAATAGATGCTTTGAGAAGAAGTTTTTTCTGGCAGGGAAATGAAGATAAAAAGAAGTTTCATCTAGTCAAATGGGAAGAGGTCATAAAAAATAAGAAAGAGGGGGGACTAGGGATCAGGAACATGAAGAAACAAAACAAAAGCCTAATGCTAAAATGGCTTTGGAAGTTTATGACAGGAGAGAATATGCTATGGAGAGAGGTGATCAGGGCAAAATATGAAATGGAGAATAGGTGGATGACAAAGATGGTAACTACACCATATGGATGTGGTATCTGGAGATCAATAAGAAATCTTTGGCCTCTGTTCCTTTCTAGAATCAGATTCCAGGTGGGTAATGGAATGAAGGTGTCATTTTGGGAGGACAGATGGATAGCCCAAAGAACCCTGAAACAATTATTCCCAGATTTATATACACTAAGCCTTCAACAAAATGCAACTGTGGCTGAAATGTGGACAGGACAGGGGTGGAACTTACATCTTAGGAGGAATCTAAATGATTGGGAGATGGGGAACATAGTGGCCTTCCATGATACAATGGCACAATTTAGCAATTTGACTAGGGAAGAAGACAAGGTTGTGTGGAAGATTGGCAGCAAAGGGGTTTTCAGTGTCAAGTCAGCTTACAAAGATCTTAATCAATCAAATTCAAATGATAGGATGGAGCTATGGCCATGGCGGATGATATGGAGACCTAAAATCCCATACAAGGTAAACTGTTTCACATGGTTACTAGCAAAGGAAGCAGTGCTGACACAAGAGAATATAAAGAAGAGGAAGTTCCAACTATGCTCAAGATGCTATTTGTGTGAGGAACAGGAAGAGACAGTCAACCATCTCTTTTTGCATTGCAAATGGACAGATCAATTATGGAGAATATTCAGCAGCCTTAGAAAGATCACTTGGGTGAAACCAAGAAACATAGCACAACTCCTAAATTGTTTGGATCAATATTGGCAATACTACAATTAAGGAGGAGAGATGGAGGATTGTCCCAGCTTGTATAGGGTGGACAGTGTGGAACGAAAGGAATCAAAGATGTTTTGAGGGCAAGAAGAACAATGTGCAGAATTTCAAGATGAATTGTATAGCTCTTTATTATTTTTGGTGTAAACAGAAAGTCTTAGTACAGGCAGAAGAACTTTTTGATGTTTTAGACTATTTGTGACAAAAAGCACAGATGGAGTCAGTCTAGTTTGTAATACTTTTGGAAAAGGGGCTACTTTGATGTAGTATACCTGTGGATAAATAGAAGAAAAAGTTACCATTCTCAAAAAAAACAAGGATGTCCTTATATTTCACTTGAAAGAAGAAAAGCAAATAGGCATAGTACCGGAAAGTATGGATTTGGAGTTTATCCTCAATCAAGAGCTACTTGAAAGTCAAGATAGATTTCACACACCTAGTACATTAAGGATCACGTCTCGTACTATTCAGATTTTCAGAAATATTCACAGAGCTTTCAAAAATTAAACTAAGATTTTTCACTTTTTAAGTTCATTAGGCAATTGTGTATATTGAAAAACAATTTTCAAAATCATTGCTAGAACTGTTTGCCTACCAGCTTTCCCAACTTTCTCCTTTTCTTTTCAGGAATATGAGATGGATACAGCTTTGCAGGCCTGAACACTTTTTTCATTGAGAATGGTAACAGTATCATACATCATCAGCACAAAGATATACTCGAACCCAAATTTACCATTCAAAAAGGTATATCATTGCTCTTATTACAAAAGTCTGCACTATTAACCTGGACATTTTACTGAGATAAATGGATATTGCCATTAAAAAGTTTTACATGTTTAGAAATGTAAATTCCACATTAACAACTAAAACAGAAGGAAAAATGATAAATATCTAAGCTTACAATCGCACATTTTTAAGTCTGCAAAGACCAACCAACGCTTCTAACAAATCTTCGAATCTCACCATTTCATCATTAATCTACAAGATACAAGACCACAAATTATGAGAGTTCAACCCTACTAAGAGTCTAAGACAACATAAGGTAAATAAGCTACGCATAATATTTGCAAAATAAAGAAATGTGGTGCAGATCAAGTGTAGGAAAAGCCTTTTTTAATGAAGTAAAGGTAATAGGAAAAACCTTTATTTATCTCATTTTATTGTAATTTTGTTGGAATTTATGCCAAGTGGGAGAAAAATAGAACATAATGGAAGCAAAAGATCCATATAGGCGAGACTTAATAGTGAGGATTAAGGCTTAATCAGGTTGGTACTCTTGTATATAGTAAGTCTTCGGTTGTTGAAATTTGTCAGTAGAAAATGGAAATACCCACTAATTAAGAGAACGCCAATTTATAAATAATGTAAATGGATCCAAATTAAGTAAAATGGATGGTGAGGATTCACATAGCCAAACCCAACTAGTTAGGGATTGAACCATACTTGTTATTGTTACTGATATTTTATACCTACATTATGAGAATAATACCCACTTCAAATGTTGATTGGTACTCTTTCCATTATTTCCACATCATAAAAGGAATTTATAAGAAGTTATTATGCAAGATTCCAAGAAAGAAAACTAAAATAATTAAATAAAAAAGAAAGAACAAAATTGATGTAAGATAAACTTGCTTATTTTTTACTAATCAAGTTACTGTTTAACAAAAAAAACTTGTTTGTTAATCTTTGGAACTCAAATATGTTAAGCTAGTGAATTCAAAACTAACCAAAGTGACACTTAAAATTGCAATATGGAATGGTAAATAATTTGAATTGTCACTAAAATCAGAATTGGTAATGTGAGAAACATTGGAGAAGACTACTATTAAATTGTTGTCGTGTCTACATTATTACATTGAGACCCTATTTATAGACACTAGAATACGATCCTTTACCAAGTAGGATACTATTTACTATTCCTATTTCTATTTGTATTCCTATTCCTATTCTAAATAGGCTTGTATAAACCTATTCCTATTCTAATAGGATTGTATAAACCTATTCATGTTCTAACAAGTAAGAATACAACTCATCCAGGTTAAATTTGCAATGTAACATTTCAACTCATTTATACTTTTGCTTTGATGTATTAGAGAAACACTTGATAGAAAGCACTCTTAATAATTATAAGCATATCAAACCTTCAAAAGTAATGGGAAGCTTTATGTTACTATGTTAGAATATTTCTTTATGATTTTAGGATACGGTACTATTTAGTTCATAATAAAAATGATAATTTTGTGCTAAAAGTATGAGCATTTTTGATAGATTTTAGAACTTATGGGTTTAAGTCATGTTTCATTTTATTTTTTGAAAAAAAGTGAAACATCTTTCCAAAAACTATGGCCAAACACATTTTGAAACTTCAATCCAAACTTCACCCAAATCTGGTTTACCAAAAATATTTGGCAATCTAGGGCCAACACTAGCTTAAGAGAGCCATTGTTTTGGTCAGCCCACTAATGTTTGCATTAGGGTAGGATGTCTACATCACACCCTTTGGGTGCGGCTCTGCCCCCTACCCTGCTAACGTGGGAGACTTTGTGCACCGGGCTGCCCCTTTTTTTTAAGAGAGCAACTGCCTTTAATTTAAATGCATGACCAAAGCAAGTGTCATGCAAAATATGAGAAAAAGAGTTCGAGCAAGTGAAAATAGGAAAATCTTAAATTCCAGTCCTTTGACTTCCTTTTTCGTGGTTGAGTTGAAAGTAAATAGTGAATGAGTAACAAATATAAGGAAAACCAATTCATATAAAAGAAAAATCCGAGACATTGAGAGAGATCTATCATCTGGTTAATGATTGTTAGTATGCACATCTAGAGAAACAAGAACCTGAAGGTGAAGTGTAGTCAAAGTGAAAAAAGATATCACTTAATGGATATACCTTGGTCAATACAGAGAAAAGATGAGACACTTTTGCACTCTCACCAGAATGAGTATACTGCAGATTATCCTTCAAAGAAATCTTTGACTCCACACTTGTCCTAAAGGGCAAACTCGTGTTTAGGTATCCAGAAAGGACACGGAAATCAACATCACATGTCGCATACAACTTCGAAATGAGTAGCCTTCCTAATCTTTGGCCACAAGACGAGCTCCATGCATCCAACAACTTGTTTCTACGGCAAAAATTATCAGATAAATTGTTTACAGCTGATAAACTGGTAGATTCATCATGTCTTTCAGTCTGGATCCCAACATCCTTAGAGGATACTGTACCTATGATTCAGCATGCAAGGAAGAATGGATGAGCAGATCATGAAAGAACTCATTTTCAGGAACCATGACATATAATTGATTTTAATCCCACATCTCAATTTGAACTAACCGATTTTTGTGCTAGAGCCAATATGCTCATTCATAGAGCGTGTGTTTTGGAATTCTAGGGATTTTATTTGGTCTCCTTGGATGTTGATACCCGAATCTGTACTACTGTAAACACAGACGAGACCGTAATTTTAGCATGAGATTGACCTCATTTGCAGTGCAAGCAAATCATGACAGTTAAAACCTAATCAATCTCATTCCAGAATAACAAGGATGCGCAAAAGTCAAATTAAATGGATAAGGAAACTAGCAATCAAAAATATATAACTCATATAAAGCATATTAGCAAAGATAAGAATTTCTCCAATGTTATGACTCCTTCAACTTTTACACACTGCAAGAAGCAACCTTCACTAAAATTCTTCTATTTCCCTTTTAGAGTTCAACTGAGAAGTTTAAAGTTCCACCAAAAAACATGAGAAAGAACATGATGAAAGAACATGATGTTGCATCACAAAGTTCCTCCCTAAGCACACAATATATGCATTTTTTTCCTAAAATTTCTAAAGGATCAGCATAGTTGCAAAAGGTTTGGCACTTTGTCAACTAGCAGTAGAATGACACGTGAGCATGGTTTGTTACAAAGAAAATTTTTTGTACCAAATTTGATTCATAAGAACCTTACAGAATGACATTACTAACTCTGATAAATAAATTTGATATATTTTCTTCCAAAACCTTCTTAAAAGGAAATTTAAAACATTTTACATTCTATTCTTCAAGATTTATTGTGCCCCTGATGCATATATTTCCTTGTACTTCATCTCTTAGCATCTTTGTTGTTGAATTAAAATTTGGAGATAATATGTAAATCTCCACCCTCTGAAATATATCCATGCATTACACTTCTTTGTCATGTACCACGCCAATGTGGTAAAAATATTGGAATAATGTCACAATGAAAAGAGGTTCTTTGTAGGACGAAAAGGGGAGAAGAAATGACAAATTTTCATTTTACCAAATTGTAGAAGTTATTGAAACTAAACTTCTTATATGGTTTGTATTCACCTCCATTCATATACTATCTCAATCGTGTAGATTAACTAATGTATATAATCGAAGTGAAATAGGAACAACCAAAAATATAACATAACTTGCAACAAAAATGAGACTAAAAGGATAGAGCAATAACATTATGAATAATATAGGCTAAGGAGTAGTTGATTGATTTTGCATGCACATTGACAGAGGGAAGAAAAAGGAATCTTGTGCAGATTAGATTATTAAAAAATATGACTGGTTATTGCTTGTCAGATCAGGCTATCTCCTTATTATCTAATGTGGTACGCGCCTTAATCAAGAATAATTGTGGTCAACTTTTATTATGCATAAAATATAGTATACCCTAGAAGAAGAACACCATAACCAAAGTTTCCTGCAACTACCTGTCAAACACAAATTCCACTAGGCACTTACAGGTTCACAATTTTTGGAGGAGTAACCTTGAGTCTCTTCTCTTTCTTATCTCTTTCCTTTCTGAGTTTAATGCACTCTTGCTCCTGAAGCGGTGCAAAAGATCATTATCTACTAGGAATTTTCATCAGAAATATATTGAAGACAACTTATGTCATAAAACCACTATACTAGGTCTTCAGCATCTACTCAATGTCAATGTCAAGCACATAAATATTATCCATCAAGGTAAACCAGTGTAAAGAATGCTAACTGTTAAGTCAAGTGAGATGAATCAGACATAATCCAAATGGAACCAGCTAAACAAATAGTACAGCACAATGTGGGTGCTTAAATTAAAAAGTTCCTTCAATGAGGTCATGCAGTTAAGTTCAAGATTTTTCCCTTGCAGGAATCTGTTCATTTATCTCAATAACATATAAAAGCAACTGCAACTCAATTACTGATCGAAATCAACTGAAACATCTGCCTAATACCCTAATGCCTCTACAGTCATATAGAAACCTTAGAAAGACATTTAAATTCTGGAACTCCAAAAATTCAAATTTTATACAGCATACATGAGAGTATTGATGGGTAGGGTATATGACGTACCAAACGATTCCGCTCCTCTGAAATTCTATCAAGCTCCCTCTGCAATAAAAAAAAAAAGAATTAGCCCAATCCATTCAAATAACTTTCTATAAAATGGGAGGGCAAAAGTAGTCTACTGCCCAGCCAATTGATCAGAGAATGACTACTTCATTTATAAACATTACTATTAATTACATACTAGTAGCATTTTCTAACCTTCAAACTATCAAGTTCTTCTTCTTTGGCATTGTGGGACCCGCCAGCAGGGAGAGAGGAGCGGGCAGCGGCAGCGGAGAAAACGTCGACATCGGATAACTGATTGAAACCTTTAGGCACTTCTGGAACTCTCTGAGACAAATCCCGCGGAGGCGAATAGCTAACCTCGACGTACGACACCGCCGGATATGATTGTTGCTGCTGCTGCAGGGGCGGCGGCGGTAGCGGCGGAGGTGGAAGGGATTTCTGAGTGGCGATCGACAAGGCCTGCTCTTCAGCTTGAACAAGTTGGTCGACGAAATCTGCGTCCCATTCTTCGTCGAAACCCTCGTCCGCCATTGCTGTAAAGGTTTCTCTTTTTTCTTTTTTTTTCAGTTTATATTTTTCATCTGTTCGATTTCTCCATTTTCGCGCGCTTTGCCCCTTTTGTCAGGGTATTATTCGAAAAGAGACAGTAATTTAAGTGATATGCCAAAATGCTCCCAATAGTTTTTGGCATTTCCTTTTTCTTCCCCACATGTTTCTTTTAGGTCATTTGTAGCCCGTTAGATTGTTTGATCAAATTTTTGGTCTAAGATGCTCTTCCTTTTCCTCTTCTTATTGGTGTTCTACTTTCTGTGAATTTACACCATTTTTGGAAATTGATGTTTTTAAATTCAATTTTCTCCATTAATTAAATTTTTCATTATTTATTTTCATTATAATGTTGGAATTTCTTTTGTTTCTTCTCGTCATAAAGGATATTTTTGTATCACAGATTGATTAACAATCATTTTACTTATATAACTTTTTAAAAATGTTGGATGTTAGTTCAACTAATATGGTGGCACTTGTTCAAGTTATTATGGTTATTGAGAATGGCTTGATAAAGAACTTTAGGCATTATTCGTTGTAGAATGAACAATTTAAAGGTTGTGGATGATATAGTTTATATAACTTATCCACATTTAAAGGAAATGTATGCCTTGAAGAGGTAAGGTGTTGAATTTGAAGTTGAAAATGTGTTTATTCTAATGTCTTGGGCTACTTACCATGCATGACAGTGTCAAATGTATTTTAAGTGTAAAGTTAAATATCAACTCGAGTTCTTCTCTTAGAAATTGAAAAAATTGATAACTAGCTATTAAAATAGTGAATGATGTTTTAAGATATTGTGAATAATAAGATCCTCATGTTAATAGTCAATTCTTTCTGGTATGTGTGCTAAGATGGTATTGGTTTGGGTCTAATCGGTCACCACGTGCGAAATGAGAGATGTTGGTATTAAGTTTACATAAACCTAACGAAAGTTATTAAGAAGTTACCACATAAACAATGTAACTTCTATCTTATTTTGAAGGAAAAAGGGTCAAAAATACCCCTAAACTTTGATTTATTAGTTGACTATGCCCTTGCCATTAAAATGAAGTTATTTTTACTCTTGTTGTTACTAATTTCATCATTTATGCCCCTCTATTAACGGAAATCTCCAAATTGACTCAAATTAACCCAAATTCTTTTAAATAACCCATTCTCTATTTTTAACCCATGCCCCAACCCGTCTAAAAACCTAACCCAATAAACTTTTAACCCATTTTCCTTACTCATTCTTTCAAAAGATCTCAAATCCCACGAGAAACATTTAACCCATTTAACCAATTTCATTCATTGTTAACCAGTCCAAGATCCGTCTTCTGATAATATCTCATCATGCCTACAAGATCTTCCTCTGTAGTCTTCGAAAATTTTGTAGAGGGTTCATGGGGTTGGTTTACTTTTTTGTTGAAACACTTAAATATGATCCAATTTTTAGGTACATAAAGATCTGTTTCTGGGTTTGTTTTGTTTTTATATTCTAAAGTCTAAAGCTTGGATCTTTTAGTGCTTTCACACTTTTTATCTTGTTTCAAGATTCAAAGTAAATATATGAGATGTTGTTAAATATGTTGTTTTGGGTTCTCGAGGAATACTTGGATTCTTATGGTTTTTTTTTTTTTTTTGTAATGGTGAAAGATAAGTAAGGAAAGTGTGTATTTTAGTAGTTTATTGGAAGCTCTGAAATCGAAAGATACAAGTGGTCTAGTGCTGTTTCAGTTTGGTAAATTGGTTTTCTCTTTTAGTATTACCAAGAAAAGGCCACTTCAAAGACCTTATCATTTTGTTCAGAGCTTCTAAGAAGAATAATGCTAAAAAAAGTTGAATTGTTGTGAAGACAAAATGGTAGAAGAAGCAGAGTACTGAAGCTTGTTTGTTTTCTTTCATAAAGGGGCATTTCAGTTTGTAAGATTTAGGAGAAATGGCTTCCTGCAAGGATGGTAAGTCGGTGTTGGACAACGGAAAGTATGTCCGGTAAACACCTGAGCAGGTTGAAACCCTTGAGAGGCTTTTAGACGGGTAAAGAAAATGGGTTAAATGTTTATTGGGTTAGGTTTTTAGACGGGTCAGGGCATGGATTTAAAATGGGGAATGGGTTATTTAAAAGAATTTGAGTTAATTTAAGTTGATTTGGGGATTTCGTTAATAGAGGGGCATAAATGATGAAATTAATAACAGTAGGGGTAAAAATAATTTCATTTTAACGATAAAGGCATAGTCAACTAATAAACTAAAGTTGACGGATATTTTTAACCCTTTTCCCTATTTTGAACGTTGATTGGAGAAAATTCTTTAAGGGGTCGTTTGGTGTGAGGGATAATACCAAATAGTCCCGGGATTAAATTATAGTACCGCTTATTTTGTTGTTTGGTTGGCAAGTTCGGGATAACTTATCCCGGGATTAATAATTAATACCGGGATACGTTATCCCTCTCTTGGGGTGGTATAGTAATCCCGGGATTACTTATCCCGGGATAAAATAGGTAAATGACAAAAATGTCTCTTTCAACCCTTTTGTTATATCACTTTTTACATTAATGAAGGACATTTTTGTAAACAAATAAATTGTTCTTAAAATTTATTATTTTGAATACAACAAACCAAACACTCAATAAAAAATAATCCCAACACAACTTATCCCATCATAACTAATCCCAACATAACTTATCCCAACATAATTTATCCCATCATAACTCATTTTCAAACCAAACGACCCCTAAGTGTGTATAACTTTCTCATCAATCTTCATATTAAAAGACACAATTTTCCTTTTTCTCGATAATAAAGAAAAAATACATTGATTCTCTATATCTACCATGAGAACAACTGACCAAAAAAAATTAAGTTTGTGGTTAGGACATTGTTTTGATGAAGTCAACTTTGGAAAATTACTTTAATAATGAGTTCTGCTATTTTCATTAAAATAAAAAAGATACACAATTCATTATTTCGCTGCTTAATTTTATTCTACCCTCATGATAGCTCATAAAAATGTTTTCCTTTAACAATTACACTATAAACTTTAATTCTAACAACTTTCTTAGGTCAAAGTCAACTACATATAACAATCATAATTAGTTACTAGTATTTTTTTAATAGACTGATTCACTTGAAAAATAAAAACAGAAACAATTATAACCATATATTATAAAACATAGTATTTCTAATTATATCATGTAAAACGTATATATTATTCATACAATAGAAAGTGAAATATACCTATATGTGTATTTATAATACCTAGACAAGAACATTATGTACATAATAACCAATATCATATTTTTATTTGTGGAACTCTAGATCGAGGGAAATTTGCAATCCCTATTTCTTGAGTGCGTATTGGGTAATCCCACTTTTATTAATAGCACGCAAATTATTTAAGAGACGTAGATCATAGTACGATGAGAATTATACAAGAGACGTAGATCATAATAGTACGATGAGCTCGACTGAGAATTGATCTATGTCTTCCTTTATGACTATATTGCATCAATGCATATATCATTACATGTAATGTTGTATTATTTACTAATAGAGGGGTCGGAAAAAAAAAAAACGTAGTACCTAAAATATGTTCTTGAAATCTGAAGGTGAAATTTGAATCTTTCAAAACAATTACACCAAACTTTTGATCTTGTGTTTGAAATATTTAAAATCTATATATTTAATTTTTTTTTTATCTTATCTATAATGGTATAATTTTCTTGTTACGGAAGTTCAAGTGAACACATGTGCTCCTTCTAAATCCACCCTCTAATTATTATCATTGCATTTACACAACGTATTATATATTAATCTCATTTGTGATTTGTTCATGCATCGAATTAGCAATCATTAAGAGTTTTATAAAAGAAGTCAATACTCCTATTTAAGAAAAATAATATACTCCCTCCGTCCACAATTGTTTGGCAGGTATACTAAAAATAGATGTCCAAGATTAATTGTCAATTTAAACAATTAAGAAATAATTAGTCACTTTTTTCCAATTCTGCCCTTAATGATAGTGTAGTTCAATTGAAAAGTTATATGAACTTTTGGTATTCTTGGTATAGTAGGGTTATATTAGTCAAATTACACCTTGTATTAAATTTTCCTTGAAGGGTGTGCATGACCTTACCCTGACAAACAATTGTGGACAGAGGGAGTAGTAAATGTTGACTTTTTCAGATTTTGTAATTTTTTATGATCGTGGTGTACAACTTGACATCAACAAGTATCAAATAATTATATTCATCAAAGTTAGAATAGATAAAAATAATCACCTATATTTTTTTTATTTTCACTGAATTTTAAATTTAAAATCTCAAAATTCTTAATCACTTCATCGACCTGCATATTTTTTTAATTTTAAAAGTGACATTTGTTGCATTGGAGATACGACAGAGAAGTCATTTTAGTGTTTCTTAAACAGAAAACTGGTGGGCCTAAAGATAGAAAATAGACTGCATATCTAACTCTCAATAGTCTACCCCACACACCCACTGTGATACAGAGAAGAAGACAGCCACATGCTAAGGAAAAATGCTCAAATATATCATCGGACTTTGAGGCAAAAATAAAGTTTATTTATGTCATTTAAGTTAAAAAATAACAACATGGATGAACTTTTTTTCAAACGAAAATGACATAAATGAACCAATTTTTTAAGAAATGACATAGATAAGTCTTTTCTCAAAGTTTGATGTTTGAATCTTTTCCCTTAAAAAATGGATAAGACACAAATACCCCTAAACTATTGTTGGATTCAAAGCAGGTGTTAAAGAGTACAAATTGACTTTTGGTCCCTTGTGACTGTGAATTGAATGAATAAACGAATGAAATAAAAAAAACAATTCAACTAACATGATCGAAATCCCAGAGATATACCTTATCTAAACTTAGGTCCTATTACAGCCCCCTCCCCCGAGTTTTTTTTTTGTAATGTTGTATATCTTTTTGACTTAAAGAGTACTTGTGTCTTATACCAAAAATAATAAATTATACGTTTTAATTTATATACCTAATTTTAATTTGGTATGAA